GGGGGGGGGAGGGTTGAGCGGGACCTTGGGTGTACCAGAGTTGGGAAGTCACCTATCATGAGCGGCGGTTTCAAAAAAAAAGTAGTCGGTTGGATGCGATGAAGAGGGAAGGGTCCAGATGCCCAGGTGCGGGAGCCACGTGGGAGATGCGTGGTTTCTTTGTGCGACGATTATCTGGTTGTGCGACGGTGACTGAACGTCATGGTAACTATGTGTGCATTGAAAAGATCTATCTAGACACGTAAAACGATAAGTGTGTTAGCCTGCCAGCGTTGATGTTCTGGTTACAAGGCTGGACAAAGTATATCGGAGGTGATGGCGAGCCGTGCGACGTTGAGATAAAGTATGCCGGAGTTCCGATTAAGAGGTTTCATTCTTTGCTTACTTTTTGTTTCGTTCGCTTTTTACTTTGTTTTTACCCGTTATTGCTGGGGTGAGCGGTTATATACAAACGTCCGTACGTGGGTATCATGTACTTCAAAAAAAGAAAAGAAGATAAAAACAACAAACTCCGCATACCCCGCTCGCCCGAGTATATGCAAGAAAATCATTAAGTGAAGTAGCAATGTCATCGCCTGCTTGACCCGTGAAGCAGCGCGAGTCGCGCTTCGGGATGCTTTTCTTCGTACGCCCGCGCCATGTCGTATACCACTTCTCCCCACGCGAACTCGCCTCTGTGACTCCGGTTTTTGCACGGACTCTGCTTGAACGGAAGTAACCAGTCGAGTATGCCGTCGCCCATGGTGTCTTTCCAACCCTGCATGAGGGTCGTGTACCAAGGGTGTTCGAATGGCTTTGTCTGCATCACCACATAGGAGCGCTTGGAAGCACGGGTTACAGTAGTCAGAACAGGCCAGTCCTCTTCGACCCTTTCTCCTTCCGTAGTCCTGTCAGACCTCTTCTTATAAGCATTTCCAGACGGCGACGGTGGCGTTCCTGGTGGAAGGGTGGTACTCGAACGGCGAGATGGCTGGGAAATGAGAAAGGCGATGTTATGGATACCCCCGCGCTGGATGCCTTCGACTGAGGTGTAGTTGATCATGAGATTCCAGCCTGTCATACAAGACATGGTAAAGCTGAAGACGCTGAACAGTACCCCTACTGCGAGAGCGCCAATCCAAGTACCGGGCCGTGAGCCCATCTGGAACATGTTAATACGCTGTTCAAACGACACAACAAACGGTAGAAATGCGCCAACAATGTCCGTAGGAACATACCTTTGAATTGCGCTCCGCCAGGAAAATAGCCACCACAATCCAAGTAAACGTTGTGTACAGCGCCCCGTACGCTACAAATTGCATGAAAAATTTATGAGTTGACTCTCCTATGATTCCGCCCGCCCAAGGGCAGTAATGGTCCATCTTCCTCACACATCGGCCCAACTCCTTGCAGTGATGTGTTCTGTCCGGTTTCCAGTTGTGGCACTTGTCGCACCAGAGTGGTAGCCCTTGGTAGTCGCAGATGAATGCGTCATACTGGTCGAATGCAAAGTCCCTAGTGCTAGCATGTTCCTTCTCTTGCGCAGTGTTTCCGAACGGGACAATATCAGGCCTGGACCATATCATTTGTAGGAGGCGCAGCCATGTTATGGTGAGGAAGAGCAGGAGAAGGGCGTATACGACGATGAGCGCGATGCCGGTGGACCGCCGAGGTTGGATATCGAAGTCGCGCTGTATTTGGTCCGATGGGTTGATAAGGTATTTTATACAGATCAGGTACACAAAGACCCAGGTTTCGTAGCCCACCGCGCCGAACTCGAGGAGAGGAATGATGACGGAGGTCGCCTGGCCAATCTTCTGTTCCACGGCGGGGTTGGTGATGGCGCCGGGCTTTGGCGGATCGGAGACTGCTGGCGGAGGAGGTGGTGGTGCCATCGCGACAGAGTGTGGAACAGGAGGAATAGCTGCGCTCACTCCAGGAGCCCTCGGGAGAAGGCTGACGAGGAGGAATCCTGGTGTTGCACAACACAGCCCGCTGGGCCAAGGTCGCGAACAATGCACCATTAGTCGGCTCCCTATGGCGGGCTTGGCAACATCACCTCAAACCACGTCATTGAAATTTGCAATAATCGCTGGCCCATTAAATTTGTAGTCTTTCAAACATCCTGTTGTGTGTTGTATCGCCAACTCAGAGAAGCCTTCAATTACACCGCGAGCAATAGGTACACGCGTGTGCGACGCGCCGTCCGACCAATCGGCCGAGCCTGGCCGCTGCCGACGTCATGATCCTCGACTGCTCAAGGCCCGGCCAACAATTCTCAACCTCCTTTGCTTTTTTTCTTGCTGTGCTTCTGCGCAAAATATCAGTATGCTTTCTGGCGTTCTCTCGCGTGGATTAGAGAAAATCACTCGCTTTGGCTTCTGGATCAGAAGCAAAGAGGATCAGATCCCTCGCCAATCAACGCCTTACATAACCATGCATATAGCCCCAAGAAGTAGTCTGCAGCCCAGTCTGGCAGTCACATCATTCTTTGTTCTCGGCTTGTATCTATTTCATATCATGGGAGAGCACACACAACCTTCGGCGCCTCTGATACGACTGATGACTGACCCAAAACCTGCCTCGAAGGACTACACGTACATGAATGCATTGAAGCTAAGCCTGTTGCACTGACCGGATCCCCCAAGGCTGAGACCGAGGCTGGATCGCCTCGTTCTTCTCTTTGTTCCGTGATTTTCTGTGGTTGTATTGCCGCCATTCCGGCCCCCTTCACCAAACCTTTTCGCCGTTTCTGGAAAGCCGATATCAATCATGCGTAGATAGCGGGGTCCAAAAGGTTGCATCTAGATAGTGTTGAAGATGATCAGGCTGATCCTCTTGCTCGCAGTATATACGCTACGTCCTGCACCTGGTGTAGAAGCGAAGCATATACTCTTTTGGTACTCAAAGAGATTTAGCACCAACTGACCCACGGCCAGACCAACGCAAGCTTCATTCCTTCCCAGCATACAGTGAGTCTGCCTAGTGCTTCTTGTTATAGTAAATGGTTAAACGCAGTCTGTAAACCCGCCGTCCACTGGCCATTCACGTCCAGGTGACTGACTACGCGCAGCATGGCATCCGAGCTTCAACGTCTACGCACCGAGCTCCCAAAGCTACACAGCCAAGATTTACTCGTATGGGTAAGCGTTAATCGTCTCAGAAGGCATCGGGGCTCGCACTGCCACGAGCTGGCCGTACCGATGATCGTCGCCGGCCCACCACTGCATTTCCGGCGTCATACTCAGGAGCAAATATCCAGGCGTAGATTGCCAGGCTACAGCACTATGAACGCATCATCATACTATACCGGTGGATCTATTGACGATTGATGACAGAAACAACAACTGATGCAGAAGTAAAGCGACATGCACAGCCTAACCGAACAATCGTACCGGTAGTGGTTGAAGTCGATTAGCAGCCTGAGGTTTTTATTTTCCAGTAACACAAAGCCGGTGTTCAATCCTCCTCACCCGACAGTGGCTGTGAAGGCTCTGGGCGCCGTCCATGCTCTGTTGGGCATCAAAGAGTGCAGGGGTTAAGTGCCTACATCGGACTCAAGTCTACAAATCGCCAATGTTTATTCACCAAACCAGGCGAATAATTAAATCCACTGCGCTACGGTAAGTAGGCAAGATCTTTAGTCTAGTTTCATATTGAGCGATTACTTATTCGGGAACTAGTATATTTGTCAAGCTCCGGGACTCCTTATCCCAGTTAGTCACTCCATCAGGCAAACAGGCAAACAGAACGATCGCCTGGTTTGCTCGGTTTGTCTCAGCAATTAGCCATACCCAACTATACGGCATTATTGCATGCAGCATCCCATGTTGCTACAACATGTCGTCGCACCTCCCGATCTACATGTGGGGAAGAAGCTTGGTATGGCCTGATGTAAAGGTTATCATGGGGTTTTGATCAAGGCAAACACAGAACATCAGGCATTTGCCCTTGGCCCCAAGACTCTGTCAGCCACACACCGACTTTGCAGTATTGTGGCGATGCATCTCATAGTCAAGATTCTGGCTAGTTCCTTGTGGGACTCTCATCGTCCTCCACCATTCACTGCCTTACCACTGGCTGGCTATCCGTGTAGGGCACCAACTTGTATGCCTTTGGCACCAGATGCCTTCTTGGAGCTTCATAGCGGAAGGCGCAGCAGGAAGACACGATGGACACGAGGCATTCACTCGAGTGGGACTTGTCTGGGCGAACGAGGTACATTTAAGTTCTCCCCGTTCTTCAGAATAAAGTCGCATATCGCTATCCAGACACACATCACTCACTCGGAATACATTGCTGGCTAAAGCGCTCCAAATTCTTCATCAATACTCCACTGTTTCAGTATCGCACATCATGGCCGTCAACTCTACTCTTCGCTATCTCAGCAAGGACTCCGACACAACTCTGAGTCCTCAACGTCATTCAGTGTCTTTGCAGCCCAACAACACGGCATTTCTCGAGCGTGCAACGGTTTCTTCCATTTCAGATGAGAGCAAATTCACGCTTCACAAGAACTATCTTGTCGATCATCACCTTTCGAGCCACAACACATCCGCGCCCTCTTCACCGGTCTTATCTTGCAGCCTACCCGATTACACATCTGCACCCATCTACGGCGCTCCAGTAGTCTGGTTTTGCTCGGCGTGTAAGGATGGTCCCAAAGGCGACTGGCAAAACGTGTGCACAACATGTAATCACCAAAGGTGCACTGCTTGCACGATGGAAAAGACTCAATAAACGGACCTCGGAGGTTTAAGCCAGCATTTTTTTTGCATCATCGGCGAAGCAGGAGTCTTTGAGCGCCATGTTCGGGCCCGAGCGTGTTTTTGGCTTGCTTTTTGCAGCGGTCACATGGAGGAGTATGGTTGGTTTGGGGCATTTAGGACTAGGCTTGGATTTAGATTTCGTCACGCAATATATCTGTCGCTTCAATATACTTGTTTTCCACCTCATATTTGCTTGACTCTCAAAATCGTTGTATACGCTGCTCACTCACTCTCCACTGATAATATGAGAAATTCACTGCTCACATCCTCACTACTCACAACGAGAACCACCATGGTGGGCGTCGCGGGAAATTGCAACCCAGGATGAAGATCGATGCAAGCATCATCCAAGGCATGAACACGCAGGTACACAGGTACACGAAACAAGTGCACACCCACAGCGAGGGCGACACACGCCGCCTCAACGGCTCTCTCTGCAGTGGCGAAAGGGGGAAATGCTTGTAGTCCTGACGACGGATCGTTATTGGAGAAATTCACCTGAAACATGACGCCAATCAACTTGGACGATTCACACCGCAAGTTGAGACGGGCCTGCTGCTGTGGCCAAATTTGTTGAGTCCGCCTATGGAGGACCAGTATGCCAAGTATTTTGCCTACACTAATCCCCCCAACGACGGCCATCCTGAGGCCGCCCATTTGCCTGATGCCTTCTCTCCAAAAAAAGCCTAGTCTACAAGTCTCACGTGCAGTTCTTGACCCATAATCACTGTCGTCGCCTCCTATCGTGGCCCACACTGACAACCTTAGGAACGCATCATCTCATCCGATTAAGCCTGACGCAACCCTGGCCCTTTTTTCTCCTTTTTTCCCACCCTTCTGCTCTTTTTTACACGATGAGTCGTGCTTTTTGCTGGCTCCGCCACTGTCCTCCGTTGCGTCATTGGTACAGTAGGTCCGCCGCCGAGGGACGAGTGCCCGCCAGGACTGAATGTGCTAGGCGGCAAAACGGAGCTTTACGGTCATGAGGAGGCCACTGTTCGTGCCCTGTTTGTGAGGCGAGAGGGCACAGAGAGGGCGGTGACGATGGCTCAGCCATGATAGAGGACGCCGGGAGGACGCCGGGTTGAGGGTATGACACCGTCTTCCTGCTTTTGTTGCAATAACCCTAATCACTGAAGCAAGATATAGATATTCAACTCCTGCTCCTTCTTTAAAGGTATTACCATACTCTCTCAACTTTACATCGCAACAGTTGCACACCTCTTCCTCTTCACCATCATCTTTACTCAGACACTCTATCTCTTCTCCACACTCTACCCAACTACCAACCGACAATCATGTCTTCCTGGTATTGCTGTCAGTGTGGTGACGGTGCAAACACTTCTCTGATGCCATCATGCCCCATCTACGGGTGTGGTCACAGGAGGTGTGGTTGCTGCGAGTCTGTTTACAACAATTACAGCAACAACAACATCAACTACGCACACTCCTCCAGCCACCAACACGCCGCACCTCTCCCAAGAGGATCCTCCTTTTCGAATGCAAGCAGTTTACACTACACACAATGCCCTACTGAGCGTCCCGAACGCCCGAAGATTTGGCGGTGGATTTGCTGCAGGTGCGGCGGAGACAATAGCTGCAAGACTGATGAGGGATGCGCTACTTGCTGCAACCACTGGCGCGATTCTAAGTGCACGTTGTATGATGCCAGTACTCGATAAGTCGAGCTGATTGCATCTTTGGGAAAGCCTTCGGGAGGAATGATTTCTTGTAAGTCTTCTGGCAATCCTTTCATGAGGCAGCTTTCTAACAGTTTTAGGATTGGCGATGTTAGCGACGAATTGGATGCATGGGAGGCGTTTTTTACAGGCAAAGATCGGCGTTTATGGACTTCTTTTTTGGGTAGCCTTTTTCCTCCTTTGCATTTCTTTTGGGGTTGGTTGGTGAGACGTCTTGTTGTACGATACTGTTCGCACTAGCTTTTGTTTTACTCTTCTATCCAATAATTCTTTTTTATCGCTAGATCGCTGCTTTCGTGTGCATTCTCCCAGTACTTCGTCGTGACCACTCGTCGAAGAGTAGTGTTGTCTAGGCATTACGTAGCTTCCATTGATCTGAAATCTTGATTAACATCTGTCCAAGGATTACTACAAACTTAGTTTTGTGGGTGCGGATGGCAACAGGGCCAAAAAAAAACGATTACTTTCTGTTGCTCACCGGCGGAAGCCTCATTTAATAGGCAGCACTCGCAAAAAATGTGCACAGCCGCCGAATACTTACCGCAAATGACATTGCCCTACAGTCTGCTAGCTGATTCAACTTTTACGACCATTGTTTCCTTTGGATGACGATCTGTACGATGGCATGAAGTCAAATTAAGGCCCTGGCATGCTGCAACCGCACCGCAAGGCCGGCAAATGCCCTTGTGCCCTGCAGGACAGGGTTTTCTGATATAGATGAGGTTGGAGATGCCTGTGAATCACCCGTTCGGAATGTAGATGGACCATGGTGTTGGTGTAAGGCCAGCGGTGGGTGCCTAGAACACCCTCTGGTTGCAAATGCACAGCCACTCGCAATGGGCCGACTAACACCCGTGACTACCAGAGACCATGATCGGTGGAGCAGTCCGGCTTGACGCTTGGAGGTGGGAGATGATGGTGTGCTAACTTGATTACGCATCCAATGAGCTTGTAGTGCAAAGGGCGCGGCAGAATGGAGGAAGGAGGGTGCAGTGCGGGTTACCGGAGCTAGGTTGAGGTCCCCAAGACGGACTGCAGTTGCCTGCACAGCAACAATGATATTGCATCCTTTCGCATCAACATCACCGCATCGATATCGAAATGTCGCACGGCGTTTTCCACGTTCCAGCTATCGTTATCAGCCCAAAGCAAGTCGAATGCGCTCTGGAAATGCCAAGTATCTTGCAACGACTAAATTTCCCTGCATGCGGCTTTCCATGCAGAGAAGCAATCTTCTAGTATCGGCTACGCATTGCCGCCATCAATATGTCAATGACCTCAAAAGCGGTCGAGAGGAGCTTAGCAGATACGAAATTGGCGTTTGTCGGCCGAATTAAAAGCTTGTAGTACGGAAGCGGGGTATATTACCGCCATTTCTCGTGCGCCTTTTGACGCAATTCAAAGCGGGCGGCTTGCTAAGATCAGCATTTGTAAGACGCGGCTTACTACGGCAAGCTATCAGGCCAGGCGTGCGGCCCTGAGTGCTACTTTCTTCTGTCGATTGCTGCCATTGTTCAGCTGGTCAAATAGTCTGGATGGCAACCACACTAGCGGGTCAAGCCCAGGCGGCGCGTCAGCTTTACACCTACGTGCTTCAACCACAACTGTACGGCGACCATCACCATCCGGATCGCCAAAATACACCAGAAGGACCAATATCTATTGCGTTTTCAAAGTCTAGTCGGCGTACTATTCACACCAATAATGACCTGGTCAAAGGCGTAGTTCACGTCAAAGCACGACTGCAAATCAAGCGCGTCACGATTAAGTTCATCGGCAAAACAACATGTCGCATTTCCAACGACCGCAACCCTGCGAACCCCCACTGTGCCGAGGTTGAGCTCTTCTGCCATGAAAAAACATTGTCAAGGATCCAGACTCCAACTGCGACATGCCCGCCAGGACGGATAGAATACCCGTTTGAATTCCGGTTCCCAGAAAACGTCGAAGCAACTCCCAAGCTACAAAATGAAGCCCCATTCAAACCAGACGCACTTTTTGAACACGAGACCGGCCACCAGCTCCCACCATCACTCTGGTGCAACGAAAACAGCATCTGCAACGAGTACTTGCTAAGAGCCGAATACGTTGCAGAGCAAACATCCTTCACCCTGAACCCCGTAGTAGTCCACCAGCTCCGCTTCAGCCCCTCCGTCCCCGAACTCAACATACCCAGCCCACTCCCTATGCTCTCCGCACCGCCCATACGCTTTGAACGTAAATCCCGGCCCTCAACCCCAGACCCCTCAAAGGAGCGCCGCGCACCCCTCAAGCGTCTAGCATCGGGCCTCCGCAACAGCAGCTCCGAGAAATTAGACGACACCTCCGCGACTTCCCTCCTCGTCCTACGGACCCCAGCACAGTACCGCGTAGGCGCCCCCAGCACACTCAAGATCTCCCTCCAAGCCACGCTTACAAACGGCGGCATCGACCAACAGCAACAGCCGCCCGCCGCCGTCCACCTCCGCGGCATCCGCGCCCAAGTCAGCGCCCACATCGCCTCGCGCGTCCCGCTCGCCTCCGCCGCCACCGGCGACGTCCGCAGCGAAACCACCGAGAAATTCGACCTCTTCAACCACCGCTATGTCAAACCCGGTATAGAAATCACACACGACACCACGCTGGACGGGTTGCTAATCAACAACATTGTGCCCCCGACCTTCAGGACGTATGCTGTCACACTGCGCTACGATGTCAAGTACAACTTGCTGCTGGAGTGTGCGGGCAAGGAGTCAGAGCATGAGGTTGAGATGAAGGATGTGGTTATCGAGCCCATGACGAGACCAGGCGGGCATTTGGGACCGCCGGAGGAGCCGCCGCCGCCGTTGAGGGAGGGCGAGATGGATGTTGCGAGGGAGATGATGATGAGGCAGGGTGGTGCGAATGGGGTTGTTGGGGAGCAGGTTCCGCCGCCGGCGTATCAGAGATGAGGGGATTGAAGGAAGGGTTAGGTGTGTGTATAATCAGATTGTGGAAAAGCATACGATATGTTATCAACCTTTGATGCTTTTACTAGACAATGTTGATGTATAGAATGTAACGCGTTGGACACAATATATCGGATAAGGAGCATTTCATCATTCTTGAACTAAACAAAGGCACGATCAAATTATCATTCAAGTCAAGGGAATAACTATTGGAAGAACAATCGTCTACCGTATCACCCGTATCCTCCGTCTTATGAAAAGCAAAAAAAAATGACAACCTACTCCTCGACCAATACAGGGTATCCCTTACAATGTCGAACAATAACAAAGGAGCAGAGAGGAAGAAAACATGACATCGTATCAAAAAGCCTCCCAGTTATGCAAAACTCCAATTCGTTCACGGTTTCACACACGCAACCATGAGCCTCTCGTAATCACCGCGTGTCTCTCCTTCTATCCTCTTGACAAGATCCTTCTTGTAAACCTGCTTGTACGCGGCGCTGACTGCATTCATGAAGTTTCTATCCCAGTGGCATCGCACAACACGCTGGACGAGGAGCTCGTCTCGTGTACCCAAGCCAGCCATGGACTCTTCCAGTCGGACAGCTTCCGCTTCGGGCCGGTTGATAGCACGGCGCACCAGAAGACGGAGCACATCCTGCATGTGACCCGAAAACGAAGACTTCAGCACGCCGTCGAAAGACTTCTGGAATCGCTGTTGATAGGATTGTGCAATCGCCCTAAGCTGGGCGTCGTTCTTGCTGGTAAGAATTTGGCAGACCTGAGTAGTGTTCTTGCTGGCGAAGCCGCCCAGGCTAGCCTGTAGCTGCGTCACGGCTTGCTCAATCTCTTGAGGAACCACAGGATGTGAGTCTTCCGCCCGATTTGCTGAGATGATCATGTCATACATCTGCTCGGTACCGGCGCTGAGATCACCTTGGAGATCCTTTTGGAGAGATCGCTGGAAGAGCTCCTGGTACTTTTGCTTGATGATGTTGATATCGGCATTGCTGCGGCCAACGAGAATGTCATCCAGGATAACTTCCTTTGTGCCTAATCCCTTCATTGCTTCCATAAGGTTGTAGCAGTCAGATACTAGGGGTCCTCGAGCAATCTCCACCAGTCCTCTTGAAAAGTAACCACTAGTCTCCTTTTGCAGATCCTGGACTAAATTACGCATTAGGCGTTGTTCGTATTGTGCACGGATGGTGCCAATCTGGATCGGATCCTTCTTGGCCAAGATACTAATAAGTGCCTTTTCATCAGTGCCGAAGCCTTTCATGGCTTTGCGGATAGCCTCAACGTCCTTCATCATGTCAATGTTGGCTGTCTGTTGGGCGTAACCGAGAGACGGTTGGGTTGGCGGGCCGCCATAGCCGCTTGTTTGGGGTGGAGGAGCATATTGGCCCGGTGGAGGGGCTCCATACTGGCCTGGTGGCGGGGCTCCGTATTGTCCTTGGGGCGGTGGTGCACCGTATTGACCTGGAGGAGGACCTGGAGGCGCACCATATTGACCCGGTGGTGGTTGATGATACTGTCCAGGGGGAGGAGCATAACCCTGTGGTGGGGGCGGGCCGCCATATTGGCCTTGGGGCGGGCCGTATTGGTTTGGAGGAGGGGCACCGTAACCTTGCTGGGGCGGGTAACCGCCGTACTGTTGATGCTGCATGGGTGGTTGAGAGTAGCCTTGGGGTGGAGGTGGTTGATACTGTTGTTGTCCGTATCCTTGGGGAGGACCTTCTGGGAGATATTAGTATAAATCCAGGTTTGGCGCCAAGCCGCGGCACATGAAGGATGCAAACGCGGATCGGGCTGTACAGTGAGCAAAGAATGACTTACGACCTGGATAGGGTTGTTGGTATCCACTGGGTGGTTGATTGTAGTATGACATGCCTGCCTAACTTCTGAACAGTGCGGCGCAAGCACTATAGGAAAAGATAAGATCGACACGCGCAGACTTTACGTTGGCTGCGATGGAAACAGGAGGTGAGATCAATTTCCGAGTGTGTTTCTTGGATGCACACAGCAATCATAGACGGACGAAAGGTTGCCGGGCTGAGTATGGCTGAGCCTTGGACAGTGGAGGGGTAAGTCAAGCGAAATGTTTGGCCCATGACGAATTTGCCCTTGGCGCCATTGTCAGCAGTTTGGCTGTGAATGGCTGCGAATAGGAAGGCGTGCCACGCTGTTGGTTTGTAAGGCAGCAGCCCTCGGCAGCCCGACTCCACCACCATCTGGCGCTAGGGGGTGGCTGCGTAGTGGCGATGCAGCACAGCCTCATGAGCTTGTAATCAGCACGTGACGTGGATGGATGTGATCTTGTGAACAGATTGCTGGCCTGTTTGAGTGCGAAGTGAAGGGTGATGTGGAAAGTAGTACGTATGGCTTTTGCAGCATCATGGATGACCCTGTTGGATACTCCGATAATGGGACAGTGTGGTGTAAGAGTGATGTCGCCAGACGTAATACAAAAATTCCACGGGGTTATCTGCAGAAGCCGCTGCCTGTAGAAGGATTCAATAATGAGTTGACCCAAAACAAGAGTCTGTTGTTCACGTGTATGCATCCGTTTGGGTGCATAGGTTTCTAGTATTTGTATTCCATACACTCCACCAGTCAAACGATAGCGGCATCACCCAATCAATGGCATTGAACGTTGCCAAGCTCCTGCCACAAGACTACTGCAGCGCCTGCAAGCGATCGGCAACCCTCCAGTTCATCTCCACCAACAACATGTGTTCCCTGCACACCATCGAAGCTTCGCTAACGTCAGGAACCTTAACGGTTTGGCCCGTCTCCGCGCACAACCTTTGGTTGGAGCAGTGACATCATAAGCCGACCACTTTCTATTGCCCCTCACGTTGCCGCCATCCATACGCTACAACCATACGGCGTAACTTGGCGGCCAACCTGAATCGCAGGAGAAGATGCCATTTGGTGGGAAGCGTCTCCCGTCACAATTATGTATATGCGGTGCATGTTGACCCAGTGTCAGATGGGACCGTTTAAAACTTTGTGATGCCGGCCAAGAGCGCAAGGCTTGGAGGAATGAGATGCAGCTAATATATATTGAGGCTTGATACAGCGACAGATGCAACGTCCCATAACTACTACTACTACTACTAGCAATCTGTTATCAATTGCCGTCATCCAACTCGCACGCGAGACGCATAACCACCAGCCGCATACGCCATACATCCAGCCCGTGTCGATCGGACAAGGCTCGAAAACAGGGCCAAGGGCAAACAACGCAGCACAAGAGCCCAGCTCCTCGAAAGTACGCTGGGCGCGCAGAGACTCAAAGTCATAAACGCCACTCCGTCCCCCGCACGCACGCACACGTATCTTGCAAAACACCTAGCCCAATTCCAAAATGTCGTCCTACGACTCCAACAAATCAAACTACCTCCACACCCAACACCAGCAACCCCATCAAGCACCGCCCTACCCCACGACTCCCAACGCGCCCACATCTGGAACTTACTTTTCGCAAATGCCTCAACAGCAATCTCAGCAAATGTACTCCTCCTCGCCTCCCTACACCCAGCCTTCATTCCCCCACCAACAATCGTGCCATCAACAAACCCGCCACGCCCGCACATCCTCGACATCCTCCATGTCGCACAGCTACCCCCCACCCCCCGGACCCCCACCCGCCTCGCAATCAGGCCAACAGCCAATGGGCATCCCAATCCACCAACCCACCCCGCACCACTACCACCCTTATGCATCTTCCTACCCCCCTCCTGCTGCTCCACCAGCAACAACAATAAATCACATGCCGCATACGCGCTCAATGTCAACATACAGTCAGCATCATGAAGAGGAGAATGGCAGCAAGTACGGGAACGGAAGTGGGAATGGGAATGGAAGCGGGGAGTTGGATTCAGAGACGGAAAGAGAGTATAAGAAGAGGTATGCGAGGGAGAAGAGGGTGGAGAGGCGACCGACGCTGGGAGGCAGTTTGTTGAGTATGGTTGATGCGGTGGGGAAGGCGTTTGGAGGAGGTAGACATTGAGGATTGAAGCTGCTAGATATTTGACTGCATCATTGTGAGGAGAGGGAGGGGGCATGAGATTACATGTGTGGTGTGGAATTTGATACCCAATGTCGTTTTTTTATTCCTTTTATAATTTTACTCACGAAGTATACGACTTAACCATCAACATCAAGAAAGTCTTTTAAAACATTGTATTGAATTCAACATAAAAACAAGTTCTATTCGCATCTTTTCCAGAGACGCAATGACGTGGGAATATCCAGAGACAATGCTAATGTTGGTGAGAAAAAAAAGAAATCATACTTTCTACTGTACAATGGATAGGTCCACGAACCGGCCCGTCCCAACATACACACAGAGAAACCTTCCCTTCTCTATAGTAAAACAAAACACACAAACACACAAATGTGTCCCAATTCGAGCTTCAGCGCTTGAAGCCGATTCTAAAAGCCGGGTTGGAATTTTTCTCCCCATCCCACTTCCAAATTGGTGAAAGACGAGATATGGCGAAAGCTGATAACCAAGTAGCTTTCACATGTCAAGTCCAGCCAGTTGCAATCCTTCTCCTACCCCCTGGCCCAATAGTGTTCATCGTCCCGTTTGTTGCTCCCAGAAAAAAAAACAGCTATGTATGTACCTAAAAAGAAGAAGGGAGCCAACAAAACACCGGAGAACGACGGCAAAAAAGGGCAGTATCGGGGGGAATGAGAATCAGGAGGAGATAAAAAAAGAAAATAAAAGAAAGTAGAGCAACAAGAAGAGTTGAAGGGGGGGAGAGGGAAGTCGGACCGCGCACACCGTGATTGCTGACCTGGAGATCGCGAAAAACCCCGGAATACGGCCGGTTTTGGGCGACATTTCACTGGGTTAATGCAACTAAGTAACCTTTGCGGATTCCGGTAGAGTGGAACCGCTTGGAATAAATTTAGCGCAATCGGTGGTCCCCCCCGTACAGATTTGCGAGCATGCATGCATGCAGCGTGGGCGTATATAGGGCACAGTTCGTCGTTGGAAAGGTTGAGGGCCTGGTCATGAAGCTGGTCGTTTTCGAGAAGAAAAAAAAAACGTGGAGTACGGGAAGATCAGTTGAAGATCTCGCCAATGTGACGGAGGTGCTGGGGCTTCCAAGTTCCTGTTGATCAATGTTAGAAAATCTCGGTCCTTGACAGAATGCGGAAAATAGCTCGGACGGTAGTGCATGGGGAAGATAAGCAGTTGTGCCGTGCATCGCCGAGCAACCCGTTTCTCTCGTGTTGACATCGTATTAAGCCCGTCAGATTGGGTATAGAGCGAGTGAGTAAGCTCCGGGTAGTAATAATTAGACATTAGAACGAGCGAACGGTCCCGCTACGCATTTAGTGGCCACGTTTTTCGTGTAAGCACTCTAACGAATGACGCACCAACGCTATGGCGGGACTGTTGACAAGACTGTTGACTGCCCTTGGGAGGTGCTCTTGTGGGGAGAAATATAGCGCTAAACTTAACCAGTTCCAAAAGAAAAAATACGCCATGCGGCGCTACAGTAAAAATAGAAACATGAAGTCATAAGGCGCAGCAATGCTACTGGGATTCTTGTCGCTTACCTTCAAAGCTGTGCTTGACAAAGGCCATTGGGTCGTCTTCTTCGCCGGCACCCATGGTCTTAATTCCAGGGCTGAAGCTGGTAATGGGAAGGACAATTACATCGCCAACCTTCTTGGGGGCCTTCATTCCAGTAAAGTTTTCCCAGGTGATATTGCCCTTGCTTGTGCTCATATCAAAGAAGTCAGGGTTGTTGAAGTAGGAAAAGATGGTGTCTGTCCATACGGCTGGGCCAGTAAACTCAACAATATCCTTGTGGTTGTCGGAGAGCTTGCCAGCGCGCTTGCGCTTCAGGGTCTCCTCGGTGATTCTGGCCACGACATCGATCAGCACGGGGTGGCCGGGCTTGGACTGGATGGTCCACTGGCAGAACTGGATGCGGCGAGAGTACCAGTCGGCCCAGTCTGGGCGGTCTGGGTCTGCCTCGATGCCAATGACCATGCCGTATGAGTTTGCGGCAACGTCGGAGGGAATCCACTCAAACGCAGGCTTCAAGGCGGTAGTGTCAATATCCGAGTAGATACCACCGCGGGCAAGAAGGATGAGGTAGCGGAAAAAGTCTGCCTTGAGGACGGGGGCTGGCAAGGCATTGTAAGCCTCAATGACTTCAGGGACCGAGGCGTACAGGTGTCTGATCAAGTGGAGGGCGACATCGTCGGTGATAACCTCGTGAACAAAGGACGGGTGGTGAATGGTCCAGCTGGCCTCTGGCTCGCGGAAGATTTCCTCAAACTCGCCAGATTGGGGAGTGTGCTTCCACGTCTGCCAGACGTAGGCGGGAGTCTTTGTGTCGACGTCGTAGGGGAATTGGTACTCGAGTTGTTCGGTGAGGGGCTTCTTGCGCAGCTCGTCGAGGCTGACCTGGGTCTTTGGCTTCTTCGAGGGCGTGTCGGGGACATCAAACGACTTGTCTGACTGGTCTGCCTTTGTGGGCTTCTCAGTGTGTTTTTGTGCCTCCTTTTGCTTCGCTTTCTGCTTTTCTCGCTCGCGGTCGGCGGGATTGACCCAGGCGGTGGGACGGGGCATGTCATGTGCATTGCGGTACTTTGGTGTTGTGCTGCCGTGGTGTTGTGACTTGAAGATGAAGAATAGGGTCAGGCAGGCGAGCGAAAGCACGAGGGCTTTCTTGAAGGTGAGCATGGTGGCGGGATGTTCGCAGCGAACGGTGGCGGCGCGAGGAGAATACGTTGCAGATGTGAAGGGTCGTGTGCCAATGGGTTACTCAATGTGTTGAACCGAGTTGGCGAAACGCAGGGTGGTTCGGGGATGTAGGGGGAGGTGAAGAGTAGCGAAGGGTAATGGTAAGGGTATAGTCGAGGCCGTTGGGAAAGACGGGTGGATACGGGACCGAAGTTTAATTCGACCAAATAAAAAAAGAGGGAAGGCGCAACAAAGTGGGAGAAGCAATGGAGACGAGAGGAAGTATGGGTGAGTCGCGCGAGGAACCAGCACCGCTTACATACATGGACAGGACAGCGACCAAAAAAAACCCCGGGCTAGCAGCGACGCGCTATGGCGGGCTTTTTGAATCAACAGGGCCTGGCGACAGAACAGAGGGCACGCCAGGATGCGACGCGTTTCAGAGCGAGCATCCCGCGCTCGGGCCAGGCGCGGCGGGCTGGTCGTCGACGACTTGGGCAAGGCTTGTGTACGCTTGCAGTTGCATGACTCCTGCAGTCAGTAGAGTACTGACGGGCCAGCGAGGCGGTCGGCGGGCCATGACACTCTTTTTTTCCAGCCCGTGTCTGCTTATCACCCAGACGGGCACAGTGGAATGAGTAGTGCTTGTACGAGTAATCATTGCAGTTGCAGTTGCAGTGGGCAGCTGGCAGTGCCTCGCTCTGGCAGCATGGCCGGCAGGCTGTGCATTGCCGCCACCACGCACCACCGAAGCAGCTTTTGCCCCGACAGGCCCCTCTCTCGCTCGCTCAGCCCGCTCTAGCCCTGAGGAGGGTCATGCAGTTGCGGTGGTGGTGTTACAAGGGTCGATGGGATGGAAACACAGATACTACGTACGTGTGTGCTTTGGTATGGCCGTGATGCTCTTCCGCACGGCAGTCCAGGGGCCGGATTCGCCGTGGTGACGCGCGTTCGGCTGCTCGCTTGGCTGAAACGCCGTGCTCTTGCCCGATGGGGTTTAGTCCTCCCGCCGCTAAAGTCGATACAAACGCTCCCAGGGCAAAAAAACGCGCGGTGGATGACGGTGCAGCAAGTATCGCAAGTACTTGGATGCGAATGGACACACTACTGTATCTACTATCTACACATGTATCTGCTGTCACCACCACGCCCGGCTGGTCGACGAGCTGACTGGTCAGCCTCCGTTATCGCAGCTATCGCAAACGGGCAGGTCCCGTCAGCACGCCAATCACCCACCGCCTCATTCCCTTCGATCCATCCATCCATCAATCATTCGCCGCATCCACACTTATCCTGACGCCATGCAACACGGCAATATCCAACGCCATTTTGTCGAAACAAACCCCGGTCTTGGCAACGACGTGCAACGCGGCACTTTGTCCTCATCCCCCTCGCACCATTGCACCAACCACAGCCCCCCGATACCCTTCCTTCCGTCTTTGTTCCATGCCCATTCCACCAAACACACTTTCATGCCGCCACTCGACTCACTCTACCTTGTGCATCCTCGTGCACATGCCCGCGCTTCTCTTCAACCACTACGACATGTTCCATCTACATGAAATCTCGATTCATTCCCCGCGCAATGCCACGTTCCCCCCATCCCCATGGTTCGGTCATCTGCCTCTCCGTCCGCGTCATCGCATCTTCTTGTCCGCGTAAGGCGTCACAGGATGCTGTGTCAATGTTTCAGCTACCCGCCACATGTTCTCTTCTTCCTTCCACCATCGACACCCTTCTACTTGGTACTCTTGACTTGGCTGCACCTGCCTTCCTGTTCCTGACCTTCGTTCCTGACCTGCTGACTAGCTGCTGGGGGTTCGCGGCAAAAAGCATCGGGGCTTTTTCTTGTCCCTGCACCACTCCTCTTACTCGGTCTACTTACATGTTTGTAGGGCTGCGATCACATCTTGGTCATGACTAGTGGACCCTGCCAATACCGATGCATCCATACATGACCGATCAAACCTCTTCCATACACATACTCACATACACATCTGTACACATTTCCCCATCGCCCAATTTATCCACCAACAACCCCCAACCCTCTCCCCACACCGCCCTGCTCACCTAATACAAACCCTCATCCCACAGAATTCCTGTTGAGAAAACGAAATGTCGATCAACATACCCACCCTCCCGTATCCATCTCCACTCGTTGCGCTCCGAGCGTCACCCTTCGAGTCATTCTCTCCCCCCTTCTAGTCCAAGTGAGTAAGGTATGCATGTCCGCAAATTAACCATAATCCGATACCCGGTCCCGGGGACAAACAAACAGTACATAGCGTCATCTGCCAGATACGAATTAAACAAAAAAAGAAAAGCAAGGAAAGCAAGCGCAAAGACCAAGTTCAGCGAATTTGCGAAAAATGTACATCTTTACCGTGAATGAGCATGATTGCATGCACATGTGGACCGAATAACTAGTGTCTAGTTTAATCTAGTCCCCCTGAGCTTTGAACTCTCCTTTTCCTTGAGTATTAGGACGTGGGTAATCTCGTATAAAAAAAGGAAAAGGGGCAGGAGAGAGATAGAGAGGGAACGGTGTGTACATAATCAGAGATTGTGCCAAGAGTTGAAGCGCAAATAACACACCCCACGGAAGAACGGAAGGAGCATCGAGAGAGGGTGATGAGCTAACATATTTACTTGTTGCCTCTTTCGCCATAGCCTGTTTTTTTGTTTACTGCATGTACACACACAGAGAGAGAGAGACAGAGAGAGAGAGGACTGACTCGCTTTTGCACACTCAGAGTAAGTGATAATATGTCTGTGTGAGAGAGTCCCCTATGCCATCTTGACCCCGGAACCCCCCCATCCAAAATCAACTACACACCACGCCCCTTCTCCGCGTTTACGCACCGCCTGGATATCCATGGCCACAATCCGCGCCACCTTTTCGCGATTCACCCACTCGGCAACCGCATGCCCAGATTCCTGACTATTCAGTCGCCACTTGACATGTTCTTTGTCTTTATTCTCGCGCAGCCACCGGAGCAATTGCACAGGCACAATGCCCGCAGGCATATTCTGCAGACTCTGACTATCACTCGGGATCCAGCCTTGGAAAACATTAACGTAAGTGATGCGCCGCCACGAGTCGTTCCAGTCCGGACCGGGGATTCCCTCTTGCGTGCTCCATTCCTCGGTGCTGAGGCCAGCGTCGACGCCAGACCTGCCACCGTGGGACGTCAGTGCTTTGAGCCAGAAGCACCCTTCTAGGTCTAACCACTGTAGCGAGTACGTGTCTTTGGAGAAGCGCCGCATGATGTTGGTGGCTTCGTGCCAGTCGTCGTCGAGGTCAGAGTAGAAGTCGGACCCGCCTAGCGAGACGCTCGTGTGTCGCGAGATCATCGATGTCGTCTTTGCGTTCGGCGTCATCGACGGCCGAGGCCAGTGGGCGAGCGACAAGTGCGTGATCTTGTTGAGGTTCGGTGAGATGCGGAGTAGTTCTGGCCAAGACGCCCATGGCCCGGGGTTGGCAAGAGATAGTCGACTGAGGTTCACAAAGAGCGGTACGTGGAGCTTCGCAGCTGGTATTAGGGGAGCTAATGGTCCTTCGTCTGCTTCTTCTTCCCACGATTCGGCCAGCTCGTCCGTTACACTAAGTGCTTCCATGCTGACATGGACTGGCGCCGTCACGTTTGGTCGCTTGAGGCACTTTCCAACATCGTGAAGTGTCAAGTTTTCACTCAACAGCCCGGACAGGTCCAAAATTTGTACCTCTTCACAGCCTGCTGTTCCCCCGTCTTCATTCTGAAATAGTATCTTTAACGATTTGAAATCTACCCATCCTGGCTCCCCGTACACGGTCAGGTAGCTCAGCAAAGACTCCTTGAGCGATGCCGGTAGCGACGGAATATAATGTTGCTCGTATTCGGAAAGCCCCTGCCAGTGCAGCGCAAAAGTCCGTAGGCATTGGTGGGCAAGGCTTCGAGGGTGCGGTAGGCGCTGTCATGAGTAAGAAGCCTGAATTGCAACATTAAGCCTGGACGACACTCAAACGCCAGCGCGAGATTGGGACGAATGACGTCGTACCTTTCTTTCCTCGTCCGTGACTCGAGCCAATGTGCCAAACCGAGCAACGCTCTCCTTGACTTGTCCCGCCTTCTTTCTTCCGAGCACAGTACCGTGGTGGCTCGTCTGCAACCAGCTTGTGGGAGCTGCGGGCCCCGGTGGTGGTCTGGGACCTCCGTTGGCGCGGCGCATCCTCGAGTTGGCCTTTGGTTTGGGAGCGTTAACTTCGGGTATGTGCAGAATGCGCCGCAGTTCCGGCGGAACGGTGCGGTTGCTTACTACCGAGGTGAGTTCATCTCGTTGTTGCGGGGTTGCTCGCGGAGCCTGTTCGCGACGGAGCTGTTGTATGCGCTGGTTGACCGTCTGGGGTTCTGCGGTCGAGGACGAAGACGAGGTTGAGCGGGAGCTCTGCAGCGAAGGGTGAACATAGGATGGTTTCGCGGTAGTGTACGAGGGCGTGTGCTTCTTGGGCATGGCGCCAGGTGGTAAGGACTCTGTGTGTAGATGCTGTGCGGATAGAAATGTGTGATATGCTGCTAGCTATACATAAGCGGGGTGTGTGAGCACGATTGGCACTGTGAGTCAGGCAGGTATGACTGGATCAATGAGGATTTTGTGAAGGAGCATAGGTCCACAGGCGCAGCATCTGCATGGAGCGACGGCGGTGGTGGTGATGGGTGTGACTCCAACTGGGTGTGAAGAAGAGATGACAGCGGGAGAGCTGTTTGCTCGTCATAGTGCCGCCACCTGGACCCTCGGCGTGTAGGTGGTGTACAGTACTGTCTGTACACATGTGCGCCTACACACGTGCAGCAACTACAACGTCGAACATGGCCATGACGGTGGGCTGGGCATGTCTGCGCCTCCACGTCGAAATTCGATGCATTTTGCACATGCCGTGTCGAAGGCGTTGAGCGGCGGTGACGTTAGCCAGTCTCGTCTTCCAAGAGGCTTGTGGCGCTAATGGCGACGGGCTAAGCCGATATATAAAAGCCTCTCATGCGGCGGGGCCATCGGCCCTTGTATTCTAACTATCGCCTGCCTGCCCCTATTCAGAGAGCGCCGAACACGACTGGCTTACGCATGCCCTCTGCACACGCAGGGAATAGGGCCAAGGACGTGGCAAAAAGACCAATGGCAGACATGCAACCCCCAACCAGTGCATCGAGAGCCGAGACCGACATGTGCCTAGAGGAGCAGTGAGGGCGTCGCCTCTCGAGATACCCTCAGTGCTCACCAAACAAAACGAAACAGCCCAGGAAGCCAACCACGCACAATCAAGCGTCTTATCTTACTCACATGGGGGGATGCTTCCTCCCGCTGCCTGACACATCCGCTTCCCTGCCAGCTGACGGCTGTCGTAAAGAAAGAAAAAAACTCTCTTTGTACTGCGCACCTACACATCTAGTACACATGTACCTAACTGCGTAGATTCACGAGCAGGCCCGGCGCCTTGTCTGGCTTGGCTTGTGCGACGCCATGCCACGAGGACGAAACAGCGGCCAGCGCCCATGCTTAGGGCTAATTTTATCTTCATCAGCTACAGTGGTAGATCCCCGCCCGACAGCATCAGCCCTGGTGGAGCCTCCGCTCAGACCCCCTCGTACCCGCCTTCCTCTAGAGGCCGTTGCTCCTATCTTTTTTTTCCCTATCCACATGTCAACTAATACCGCGCCTTCACGATGACATGATCTGCTTCTGCACACCACCTTCGTTTCCTCCACCCACACCCTTCCCTTAGCGATGCCACTACGCCCTTGACCAAACTTACTTCAACTCTACTTCCCTAATACACCGCTCGCTATAGCCCACACAACCATGCACTTCTCACCCTCGCGCATCGTCATAGGCTTTGCCGTCTTCATTGCTTTTAGCTTCATATACACCATCAACTCCGTATCCGCTCGCGACCCGACCTCCGTCTTCTTCGATCCCAACAAAGGATACACTCCGCGCTATTCCGCCCTCAGGCGCCAGCAGGCCGAAGCTTTTGTTTCCGCCTACAACCCCGCCACCGTTGTCAAGGCCGGCCCCGAAAAGCAGAGGAAGCTGTGTGTCGGCATACCCTCGTTCAAGCGCGACGGCACCCAGTATCTGCCCGATGCAGTAGGCTCTCTCCTCGAGGGCCTGACGCCGGAAGAGCGGAAAGAAATCTACCTTATTGTCTTCATTCCCCACTCCCGGCCCGAAATACACCCAGCCTACAATGAGGCCTGGCTGGCCGGACTTGCCGATGAGGTCCTCACCTATGGATACGGCTTCGACCGGATGCAGTACATTCGCAATCTCGAGACACAGCACAAGATTGACGAAAAGGGCATCTTCGACTACAGATACCTCTTGGACAAGTGCAGAGAGCAATACACGCCTTACATTGCCCTTTTCGAGGACGACATCGTAGCTATCGATGGCTGGTACCACCGCACCATTGCCGCCATCGACGAAGCAGAGCGCAAAGCCGCCCTCCAACGCGCCAAGCCCGACTTCCTCTACCTGCGCCTCTTCTACACGGAAGAGTTCCTCGGCTGGAATGCCGAAGAATGGTCCACCTACCTCAAAAACTCCATCTACGTAGCCCTCATCCCCACCGCCATCTTCATCTTCATCCGCTGCTTCCAGCCAACCACCAAGTTCTCCATAACCGTCGTCACCCGCCGCACCCTCCTAGCCACCTACGCCGTCCTCGCAATCATCATCCTGCTCTTCTTCGCTTTTGGCCGCATAACCGTTCAACCCATGCCCCCCGGCGTCCACGAAATGCCCGCCTTCGGCTGCTGTGGCCAAGCTTTCGTCTTTCCCAACGTCAAAGCCACTGAAATTGTAGAATACTTCAAGGACCGCCATCTTGGCTACATTGACGTTCTGCTTGAGGATCTCGCAAATGAGCGCCACGAGCTGCGTTATGCGATCACGCCCAGTATTGTTCAGCACGTTGGCCGCACCAATTCTCATCACGACGATGGTCTCATGAGCAAATGGGGACTCAGTGTTGCTGAGCGCATATGGAGTTTTGCATTTGAGAAGTTTGATTGGAGGGCTCTGCGTAGGGAGCATGAAACGGTTGCCAACTTGAGGCGGCAAGCCACCACCGGCACGACGGGGATCTAAGATATGCACATATTTGTTTTTTTTTGTTTTTTTGCACTTTGGTGGAGAGCACCTAAAATGGCTTTTTTTATGACGGCTCGATTGCGATATGTTTTTTTGCTAGATGGAATTTTCTGGGGGTTCTTTCTTTTCGGGGTTTTTTCTGGCATTAAGGAGTTGAAGATAATGTATATACCCCCCCAACATGGTTAGATAATGCATTTTACATACTCTTACGATTTGCCTTCTTCCTGCTTGCTATATTGGGTTCTCTGGAATGAAGTTGCTTTTATATTTTCTTTTTGAAACGCCGATGACGTCGTGTTTATGCATGCTTTCCAGTTAATCTCAAAACGCAATCTAGGTAAGCTGAATCTGAGCATGGCAGACTGCCACTTGGTAGACGAAATTCCTTGGTCTCGTAAATATCTTGTCCCTTCTCATTATTGGTATTATCTATATAGCTCTTTCATGAATTTTTTTTCTAAAATAGAGGACTGTTAGTTTAGGATAACTATAGGAAAGATTACACACGTAGATGGTTTTATCATTTTTTATACCAAAGTAGTGTCGTATAGCTGTGACATTACCAGATTTCAGACGCGTTATCGATTTTAGTACGTAGGTATCCTGCGCCGAGTCCCAGAAACTGTGTCTACCGGGTGCTAAGTAAGCCAGTCTTGAGCATGTATGCTGCTTCCCCGTTCAATTATCGTGAAAATCAATACATTCTATGCAAAAAAAAAGCTATCTTACACCTGTGACAAAGAACAGTACTTCTTACCATCAATCCTTCTCAACCCTATGACCCCCCCCCCCCCCCCCCCCTCAGTCTCACCAAACAACCTTACCTTTCCATGCCATGATGTTGAAGAAACTGCCTTGAACCAAACGCTTAAGAAACCTCTCCACAATCTCACCCCCAAATCGCTCTTCTCCCACCTTCCTCAACCTCGCAGCAGTCTCATATTCTGGCCGCCAGTCCCCCATTTCAAACGCATAATACACCCGTCGCTTGCTTTGATCACCTTCTTCTTCATCGCCCCATTTTGCCTTTTGACCGGGAGCGTGATATGCGACGTGGGCATTGTTTGTCTGAACCGAGAGGTAGACTGTCAGCATGAGAGAGGATAGGACAGGCATCTGTAACGCTGCTTTGGAGAGGGCGGCGAGGAAAGGGTTGAGTGTGCCTGGGTCGGGGTAGATGCGAAACCTAATGGAGCCCTGGTCGACTGTAAAGGAATTGCCGGTGGTGGAGAGGAGGGGACCAGTGAAGAACCATTGTCCAGAGGGAGCGATTGCGGACATGGTGATGTCGAGGGTTGTCAAGTTTGGCCAGGTGGGCGGTGTGGCAGGCTTTTCTAGCGGCTAGAAGAGGGTTGAGTCGACGTAGGCCTCCAGCGTTAGACTTGTGAGGTTTTCGGAAAAGGTTCGTCAAGCGGTGCTGAATGTGTCGTGGGAGAGACCATGAGGTACGATGCTTGGGGCTGGGTATCTTTGGTCAAACGAGTAGCTTTCGTGGTAGAAGTACATATCGGCGGAGTTGAAACGGTGGAAGGGGGTCAGCATGAGGCTTTTCGCAAACTCTGCACGAGCTACGCGACGCGCTCTTGGCTCTTTAGCTCGTGCGTACTCAGGGGGTAATAATGGGTTGAGATCTGGTTCTTCTTCATCGGAATCGTCGAACTCTAGTTCTTTGTCATGGGAATGGTAGCAGTCTCCGAAGTTCCAAACTACTGTCCGAAGATTTGGGAATGAGAGGGCTAGATCTAGTCCAATAGATGGTGCAAGTCTCTGTTCATTATCGCGTACATCGAGATGCTGGACAGTCGACAAGGTTGGCAGGTTGTTGGGATGGATTATGCGCACAAGCGGCCAACCGCCCCTAAAATTTGGGCTGATAACCATATCGGCCGCACAACCCCTCGTCATAGGGGTTGGTTTGGGTTTGGGTTTCGACAATACTACTTTGATTTCAAGCCGCAACACATTCCGCAGGCCATCATCTTCCCACTTTCGTAAGATCCTAAAGAGACTTTCTAGGTTTCTCGTAAAATGGACGTTGCGCGCATCTTGACACCGACGTTCAAGTTCTGAATCTAAATAGTATATGTTTTTTTCGGATTTTGTGGCAACATCGTTGTGAATTCGATCGTGGAAAGGTGTCTTCGTCGATTCCCTGTTACAATTGCGTGTAATTTCTCCAGGTCGCGAGGGATGAGGTTTAGGCAGTGAAATGTGATATGCTCCACTGATTCTTTCCATGCGTGATTGAGAATTGCGAGACGAGGAAATCGAGACGGCGCATGGTAATGATTGCCACGTATGTGATATTGATATATCGCATGATACCTATACTGGTTCGGGTAACGCTCTGCAAACTACACTATGCGGTTGATCAATTCCTGTGGCAGTGTTTCCATGGTGAAGGAGAGAACAGGTAGGATGTGGTTCAAGATTGCGAGAGTGTTGTCTTAAAAGGTGGATGAACGCCAAGGTGCCAGCAAGCGTTTGTGTTACTCTTTGCTATACTGTTGGCACATGAAATCAATTCATGGCCATGTGTAAAATTGAAGCCTTGCTTATGTTCACTTGATTAAACAAGTTTGATCAGCCTTGCACAAGGATAATTGCTGGCATACTAGAAACGGATACTTTGATCAGCCGCTCGTCCTTGCCCCATTGCTTAGTAGAATTGATATCGGCCTGCAGAAGCGTTGTTATCGCCTAATTATGCAAAAAAAGCTCGAAAATTCATTAGCAATATCGATGTTCCCGACGTCGTTCAAGTGACTGCTGAATGTTCTAACAGAGACTGCCGCTCATGCACAACTCATCCGGTTTTGGAAGGTGCTGATTCTCGAACGTAAACAGAACTAGGATGCTGCTATTATTTGGCAAACTATTAACAGTTTCTATTCCGATTTTACCTTACAGCATGATGGTACTCAATTGCGGTTGCTGGTAAACAAGGTACTGGTTTGCGTTGGTGGAGCAAATACGGACCTCTTTTCATACCCTGGCTACAATGTCACGTTGTCTTGATCCCCATCTCACATGCGCCATCGTGCGTAAAAACAAGCTAGATATGTCTTTGTTGAATATGGATGCAACTCTGATCTATGATGCGAATATTTTGAGCGTTGTGGTGAGGATTGAGATTTTTCTTGTTGTTAAGGTCAGTAAGAAATTGACAGGAAAGTGGTGGGGTCAACGTGAGGGGTTTCTAGGCGACCCACTTACTATGCAAGTGGAACACCGCGTAAAGCATGTCTTTGTACACGTTACACTTGGCTATGCAATTTGGGCTGCCAATCCATGGTTTCACCCGCCTATAGCGAATACACTGGAGATGCACATGTGGCTACGCCTTCTTTGTTTGTATGCATCTATATTGAGAAGAAACTTCATATTACCGATCCACGATCTACAATTAGTCTCTAAAATTTGCCAAACCCACAACTCCGTTCTCCATGTGTTCATTGAAGAGATTGGAACAATGCTACCAAACCTAGTAGGGTAACGCAGAACTTATACCTGCGCAATTATGTAGCTATGACCTGGCACTCAACCCCTGTGCAAGATCGTCGTTTAACAGAACATGTCCTTGACCACACTGCTACCAATCAAGTACCCATCCCACTCGCCTTCAGAGCGTCGGCGGTAGCTGCTCCGTCCCGTTTGGCGGTCACGTACCCCTCTTAGGATGAGACTCCGCCTTCTCCAGCCCTTCCGCTCGGGAGCTGTTATCCGACACCTGATAACAAAACATTTGCAGAATGCAATCGATACCCGAATTTCAAACCCTTCCCGATAAACCTTTTGAACTTCAATAAATTACCCGAATATTCAACGCAGAAAATAAATCGAACATGTCATCAATCGATCAACCACTGAATGACGGGATTCTGCTTGTCACTGGAGGCGCATCAGGTATGGATTATGACCCAAATGATTACGTCTAGATCTCATTGTGTCAAGGCATTGGTTTTGAAGTGGTGAAGCAAGCTTGTGAACTTGGTACACGAGTCCTCGTTGCGGACCTCAAAACAACACCCGACTTCGACAGCTTCGCAGCCGGCAAAGACAACATCGTCTATGTCCAAGCCGACGTGACGCGCTGGTCCGACTTCGACAAGCTCTTCGATGTGTGCGAGAAGAAATGGAATGATGCGCCAGATGCATATGCCATATGCGCTGGACTTTTCGAACCTGACTTTTCGAATTTCTGGCAGGATCCGGAAAAAGATGAGGGGTACATGCAGGTTGATGTTAATGTGAATCACCCGATCAAATTGACGAGGTTGGCAATAAGGAAGAGCTTGGGAAAAGGAAAGCGGGCAAGTGTTTGCATCATCGTAAGTTTTGCTGACAAGATTGAGCCGTTGTTAATTTGAAAGCGGCCCGAGTAGACATGAGGTTAACACATCACAGGCATCTCTTGCGGGCATCGGCGGCAACCTAGCAGCACCCCTATATTGCGCAACCAAACACGCTATCATCGGATTCGTAAAGTCTCTCGCAACTAGTGAACCCCTGACTGGAGTCAAAATTACCGCTCTCTGCCCTGCTGCCGTACTGACGCCACTGTTCGACGCCACAAAGATGAAGCAATTCTCTCTCGATCCAGAGGCAGCACTAACACCAGATACATGTGCGAAGCATCTCTTAGAACTCTTGCAGAAGAAGGAATATCCATGCGGAAGTATGCTAGAGCTCACCCTTTCTAGCACGAGAAAAATTCCAGAGTGGGGCATAGAACCCCCAGCAGGTATGGGCACTGGCCAAGAGGTCGATGAGGTCTCTATAAATAATTTGATGCAACCAATCAATGACACATTGGATATGGAAAAAACGAAGTTGTAAGTAGGCGCAGCTTGTAATCTAGGGCATCCTCGTAGTGTAGATATCAAGAACGTGTCAAGTGATAGCATATGTGAGTGCTCCTAGCCTTTTGTTACAATGCCAACTTCAGCTCGTCCCTAATATCTCAAAAAACACCTACATTCATCACTACAGTAGCATATTCACTACAAGAATTTCTCTCCTAAGAAAGGACCGCGAAATGCTCATTGTCGCGAAAAGAGATTGTATTATCAAAAACAGCATATTTTAATAGACACTCAGAAACACGACTACATTCTTAACTTCCATCTGTCATTATCCTGCTAGTCTTTGCAACTACTTTCTCTCCGAAAAAGAAAAAACCCCCGAAAGACTAAGCAACGAAATGAACATAGTACCCATTTGAGAATATCATTACACTGCTGACATTAGTCATAACGTACGAAATTTGGGTCGCAATGAAACCTAGCATACAATGAAGGAAAGTCGCAAATGTTCGTCTTGTTGAGCGTCAGCAACATTGGCTACGGGCGTTTGGCCTCATGGCAGGCTTAGACGTCCGACCTCTGCTTGGCCAGTCTCGGGTAGGTTGTCGCCAACAGGGATGCCCTTATCGTACAGGCAGGGGAGACACGAGATGTAGTAATCCTTGCCCTTTGCACACTGTTCTGTGCACTTAAAGACACCGGTGGCCGGGTCCCAGACGAATAGCAGGCGCTTTGCGATTGTCTTGCTGGACTCGGGGGAAATGCTTCGACGAATCCAGGGATGCGGCACCAGTAGTGGGACGGATCTTACGAGCACTTCGCAGTAGTTGCAGTAGCTGGTGGGTTTTATTTTATTGGCTGTATTGCATCCTTTCATGCATGAATCAAGACGAGACCTGATCGCGAATTCCTCGGTATTGGGATCTGATGGAGATCCGTCATCAACTCCGGCGGTAATAAGACCAGCCCGTTCGGGTCCAAAGGGCGGTAGTCCTGCATCCCATTTTCTCCAAAGTTCGTCGCACGGCGCGCACATTTTCTGCGTCCTGTCTTTGTCGCAGTGGACCACGCAGTTCCAGATCTCAGCGTATGCCGCCGCTTGTTCCACTGGCAGGTCCTTGGGCGATGCCGTTGCTAGTTGCTGGCGCCAGGCTGTCTCGCATTCCATACAAGATATCAACCTGTCGCGAGAGCATTCCCGCACACACACCCAGAATTCGAGTTCCTCCTTGGATCCACGGGTGGACACCATTTTCTTGGACTCGTCCCAGAGCCCATCGCAGGCCGTGCATGGTTTAGCGCCGTCGCGCATGCAATTTACCGCGCACTTCCAGAGCATCTGGAAAGCCATCGTCTCTGCAGCCGTATCAACAGAGCCGCGAGATTGCTTCGGGCCCCAGCCCCAAGGATCATAGCGAGCCGGTTGAGTGGAAGGCGTCAGTCCTCCGAGCCGCAACTTTTGGGCGCACAGTTCGCATGCACCGTGTCCTCGGTTTCTGCACTCGCTCCAACAGGCCGACATCTCTCCTTCGCTCAGCAAGCTTGCGCTCACGATACCGAGAGGATCGTCGAAACCAGTCTGCTGGAGAGGAATGCAATCCCGGGTTTCCCCAACAGGTTGCAGCGTTGCGTACTTTGCGCACTGCTGCTCGCAGTCCGTCAGACCCAACACTACACCGCACATTATTCGAGCCGCAACATAGCAATCACCACCTAGTACCGTCGGTATCGGTATCGCAACCTCGCTCCTGAGAACATTCTTCTTCGTGGTCTTAGAAGGAGCCGGAACCACATCCTTATGGCCTCCTGTGTCAGCCATTTTTTTCAAATCCTTTTCGCTCTCGGTGTACCACAGCGGAGCGATTTGATTAGGGTCCTTGTAAACGCCGACTCCGTTTTCGTGCCGCCATGGAGGCAATGGGCTTCCCAGTTTGCCCGTAGGCAGTGGGCCGGTTCTTGGGTCGCCTGTAGGTAGGTCGTAAAATGTCGAGGGAAAGGGCAGTTTGTTTTTTCGGGGAGCGACCTTGGATGGGGCGAATGGACTGACAGCGGGATCTACGGGGGTTGCTGAAGCAAGAGAGAAGAGAGTCACAAGCAGAAGGCCTTTGAGCTCCATGTTGTCGGTGTTGTTCTGATCTTTTGATGCCTGTCAGATTGGCTGTGGAGAAATATCTTGGGAAGTTGAAAAAAATCCCAAAGAGCTTTTGGTCTTCTTATGTGATAATCCACAAAGCAAGGGAAAGTTGCGTGAATAATTGTACTGACGTTCAAAAGAAGGGCATTCCTCAAACCATGGTTGGGATGTGGTTAAGGGTCGAGTGGTCTTGAGTAATGATGAGGTTAAAAGATATGTTCAGAAATCATTCTTAGCCAATAATAGGACTGACATACATGTAATCCATGAAGGGAGGCGCAGTAGGTTTTCTTCCTGATACCAAAATTCTTTTGCCACAATGCTAAGGAATTCATAAGATTGAGACATTAGTCTCTCCCCCTTTCAAAACTAGAAGTAACTCTGAGACTAAGAGAACTAATTCTGAAGACTATTTTTGTATTTCAACTTGAATTTCCTTTAAACTTCTGATTCATAGGAAGGAGTTTCCAAGTTTTGGTACTGAAGAGGCTTTCTTAATTATTCCTTGCTTTGCTACTGCACAAAATTCTGAGCAAAAATTACTCTATCTAACCATTGTAGAAAATTATATAGTCAATGCAACAATTATACAATGAAAGTTGAGAATGATGTTTTCACAACCAATTCTAGTCAAATCCCTGTTCGGGAAGCAACATTATCTAGAATCTCCCACGAAGTAAAACGGATCGTGCCCATGAGCCTCGTGCTCTAGACTGAACCCTCTGCATTCTGATGTTTTGTATCCTATATACTCTTCCTTGGATTGGATACCGACTGAATACTCAAATCCCGCTCAAACGTCATAGAATAAGCACATAGCATTCTGGTGGCATGTACGCGATTCGCTTGCTTTCCCTGAAGCTCGATATTGTAATTGATCACTCCGCCACTTTACAATCCATGGTTTGGGCATACAGCCAAGATTCGTTCAGGGACACAACACAATTGATCATTCCTCTTCTCAGGTCATATGCAGGGCAACAAAGGCACCTGTTGTTGCCGAGCGCGTGATGTCCTTTTGTATTTATGATTCAGCAAGTTGAACCGTTGGCATAATCTCTAATACCGGTCAGTCTGTTCACAGCCCCGACGTGCAATTTTGACTTCAAAGGGTCTTACGTGACATTGCGAAGCCCAAAGTTGGGTGCAACCTCAGTACCTGATTGATTACAAGTCTTTCTACCCTGCATTTCACATCAACAAATGAAATTTGGATCTTGATACGAATCAAGTATGTATTGTAAAAGTAATATATACAGCTCATAAAAATGAAACTGCGACAATGGAGCTTCTGTTGGAGAAGGTTGACTTGGAGCAATGCATGTTAAAGCAATCGATGTTGGATTGTCTAAGACGTTGCTGATTGCGCTCTCTCGGTCGACAACTCGGCCGAGTTTCCTTAGGTCCATATGTTCTTGGAGAAAAGAAGATGATAACTATTTTCTTGTATTGGAGATAACTTTGTGCGGAGACGGGGGATATACCCCAATATGTGACTTGAGCGTTTTGAAGAGACAAATACCCAACGTATGTGCTTGCCGATCTAGCTAACGTTGTGACAGCTACTAAGCGAAGACGGGCCGTGAATTTCCCGAAAATATCTCTTTCAAGATCTACACGGCCGAAAGGACCGTTGCGATGTCAAGAACGGTAGTGCAGGGAAGTTTATTGGCGGCCAAACTGGCCGCTGTGGATCTCGAACAACCCTGTTGGTGATCAACACCCATTTGAGGTATCTCATCCCCCCACTGATGTGGCTTTGCTAACAAAACTGTCAAAATGACGCAACTGTAGCCAGCTGTATGTACGCTGCGTAGGTGCAACGCGAGCCTGCAATCAACAATGCTCTACGGCTTCGTATATCCTGTCTCGAGAATACGCTAAGTCTTTACGAAATTTGATATAGATTGTAATACCTCTGCGTCCGGATGGGATCGGTATTGAATATACGTATGCATGTGCATATGTCCTATATGTGCTAAGGTGGTGGGGCTCCGCAGACCCTGCCCGTATTGATAAACTCCGAATAGGAGCTGCGATATGTGCCCTGCTCTAGAAGTGTGACCTGAGGACTGCGCCACGATGTGACCAGGATGGGTCCTAATTTAAGCCGGTGCAGGAGCAGCATAGAAAATGCGAGAAGGCCACTAGGAGGATACAATACCCCCCACACGCCTGTCAAATTCCCTCTTCCAGAGTGGCATCATGGACCTCGGCCGTGGATTCTCTACGTCTGCGTCGAAAACTTCAATCACAACCTGGTGGTTTTCCGCAATATACGTCGCACTCCGTGATCGGTACTGTCGGATGACGGTCTTGTGTAGATTTAGTAGCTTGTCCTGGCGTCGCGCCACTATGTTCTTGAAAAGAGCCAGGAGAGACTCTTCAGATGGCTGCGGGAAGTTTGTGTTGACATGGAGCTCTCGCATACTGTCGGGGAGCATGTCACCCATACAAGGTATGTCTGCATGGCGCCATGCGACGGCGCCTTCAGGAATTCTTGCTTCTGCGCCCTGTCGCTGACCACTTTCCAATGGCGGTCCGCAGAAACACTCGACATCAACTTCTAATCTTTCTAGTTTTGTGAAGCGGAGAAACGAAGACAGACCGTTTACGATTTCACCAAACAGTTCGTCGATGGTTATCGCAATGTCAACCAAGGTCCCGCTGCAATAGTTGGCGAGCGTTTCTAGGACCTCTCCAGGGTTCCAGTCGTATTGGACACCGTGCCATTTTGTTTGGTGTGAGTACCTGAACACCTGCAATGCTGGTACATTTGACAGAAAACCTGCGAGACCAGTTGCATTCATACAACAGCTTGCAAACTCGACCCGTGTCAGGGGGGACTTCGCATTTGGGTTCAGCCAGCGAAACCCGGGACCCCCCCAGCCTTCGTCAACAGCTGTACAGCTAACTGCATAGATATTTCTAATACTTTTCAACACCATGAGCGGCTCTATAACCTGGAGGCCAACTCTGATATCGTATCCTTCCTCCACGAATGGTAACAGGGTCTCCAGTTGCGCCAAAGGCTTTTGTCGATGCCCTGGTGCATTGGACATGGAAACCAAAGCCTGCACAAGGGGAACAAGATCCTCAGAGCCCTCACCTTCTCGAGTTTCATGCCACCTGTCGGGCAGCTGTAGCACTTTGAGATTGGGCAACAGACTCAATAATGCAATAGTCGCATATAGTTTGTCGATTTTGGATCCATTATGGGCCCTATCTTCCTCCAGAATCTGGCTCCACCATTCGTTCTCGTCAGCATTGGCGTAAAGTTCGGTCCTTCGCAGCAAGCTTTTAATCTCTTCCATTGCCTCGTCGTCGTCGCGGAAGCTATACTCGGCATCTTCGTCCATGACCTCATCTTCTGAGCCGCGATCCCACAAGTACAAGCTCTCAATGTACTCAGCAATGATCGGTTCACGCGATATCTCGTGCAAGATAGCCAGTGTGTCACGGAGTCGAGTTGTGCTCAAATTAGATATATGGCGCCAGGTCCTTTTCAGAGAATTGTGGCGTTGAATTTGTGATGCGGCTCGAGAGTAAACGGCACGGCATGAGAGAACGAAGTTTTCCAGACCATCGGGTGCCGTGCGGTCGATGATCAGGTCAAGGATCTCGGGCGGGAGATCGAGGAGACGCATGGCAGCGTTGCTGGGAAAAGGTGATGATTCTGGGGCTTGCCAACAACGATAAGGCTGAAAAAAGGCAGATAAGGGTGTATGAGAAGGGGCTTCTCTGGTAGTGAGAATGAAGTCTCAAGAGATGCCGCAATCTGAATATCGAAGAGCCAAGATGGAGCTCCGCTACTGAGGGGCGGCTCTTGAGCGTCCGTGCGCAGATTTCGTAGTCACGGTCATTGAGGGCCAGACCAGCTGAGGAGCGGACATGATCGGAAACTTCTGGAAAGGCCATCTCTTCTTGATTGATTGTGATTGGTTCCGGCCGAATGCTCCTTTGGTGCGCGGGTGAGAGTACTTGGTGGGGGTGCGCTTACCTAACCTGCATTAGTCTAATACCACCTGTTACCCTTCTTGCAACTCTGCAGGGTCGGGCTGGCTTCAGATGCCCTACTATCTACTTTCAACTTTTACGCAATTTCAAAATCCGCTGTTGTATTGCCTGCTTTGAACACAGCGCTCACCGTTTTTGCTTCCAGTCACCCGTCGCGCAAAGGGGAACGTACGGCATGGCAAGTATTTGTCAACCACAAGAGGCTAGCTCCTTTGTACTGTCAGGCATGTCAGACAGCGGCTCCAAGTGGGGGATTTTATTAGACATTCGGTAAATAAACGACCATGGTACGATGGGCCATGAGGGGCTAGACCACACTGTTAGCAAAATTCCCACGTCCTAGCATCTATCATACACTTCATTCAGTGTTCAACTCTGCTCTCACAATATCAGGTATTCTCAGCTGGACACCAGGCACTCAGACTTCTTGTAGACAGAACCCATCTTTTCAACATTTGTTTGCCGTGTGCACCATTAAACCCACTTGAAATGGTCACAGTGTTTTGGCGTTCTTGTTTTAGAGTCTCCTTTCTCAATTCGTCCTTCTTGGAAACTGGTTCTGCCTGTGCTGACCTTGCTGTTTCGAGCGTAGACATGAGGCGGAACTACCATCATGTTCTCTCTCATGATATCTGTAGGTTTGCTGGCTTCCGATAGGAACCATTTACTATTTCGGTAGATTTCGCGTCTTGGTCTACGATATCGCCCAGCCCAATCGGGTAAAAAGCATGATTAGTTGCGGCAGCCCGCGATTACCGCCAGCTCAGACTGCCGAGCCTATCCTTTTCAAGCTTACCGCCCGGTAGGCTCCCCTGCGGTTGTTGAGAAACGCTCAAAAGTCTTGGGCAACCCATTTTATCAGGTGATTTGTCTCCGAATATTCACGGAGTTGGTTCTTGAAAGTGCAGGGGTTATGCCTGACCCACAAGATGTTCGTAACGTCGAAAGTCGCCATTCCGTACTTGGCCGATGCACGGATCGATCTGAGAGGAAGTTGCCGGTACATATGTATTGTTGTAATAACCATTTCTGTTCATACGATAAAGAACAGAAGGGATACCCTGGTGAGAAAAGAAACCATAGCCAACAATCGATGGAAGCTTGTATGGCCATGATTCCCAATTGATAAGCGGAAATTCAGTGTATTGGCTTTGCGACACCGCTCATTTTGGAATTTGTCTCATTCCACGACACTGAGGTCAAAGTACCCAGCCATGTACTAGACGCAATGGCGTGACGGCTGGATGGCCCGAAGTTGATATGACTACCCGAAAACGTGACTGGTCGCCGCCATGTTGCCATTGTTCCATCAATCACATGAGGGTAATATTTACCAGGTAGGTATCGTGAAATAATCACTGAGTAGCAACAGTTTAGCTGCATGAAGAATTGCGCAAAATCAAGCCAACATTGTATTTCGCGCGGAACAACATAGCAGGAACTCAGCACAGGTCGCGATAAGACTGCCATGCAAAATTGGTTCGATATGATAGTTTGCAAGAAGCTTGAAGATGGACTGCGGAGTATGCCCCAGACGTCGATGGTGAGGTGGCAATGTACAGGAATGTTTCCTGCCAACTGAGGAACACGCTAGGCCACTAGCGCGCTCCACTCTTCCCTCAGTGGAAGCAAGAGCCGCGCAACACAAACAACTGAATCCATTGACATACACCCATATCACTAGGAATGAAGCTGATATATCGTGTCGCACACATCTCGCTCGTACTAGTTCTGTCTGCTTTACTCATCTACAGCGTCTACTATGCTTTCGCCATACTCGTCGAGGACCGGCATCCTCACTTACCGCCTCCAAAAGAGGACGTTGGCCCTCGCAAACCATCACCACAAGATATTGTAAGCTGCTCAAATACACGCCATCGCCTAGATAAATTTCGAGATTCTGATGTTGCATAGGCTAGGTCTATGAATACGATGTGGAATTATCTCGACGATTGGGACGAGGACCATTGCATCAATGTATGTGAAGCGTCCTGGATCGCGTGCCGATTGAGGAGTTGCGACCACCTTCCTGGGGTTCGAAAACAAGAGCTGTGAACCCATGGTGCAACCGACTTGGCAAATTGATAGTATCAGGTGGATATGAGCCCCCAAATCACGAAGATTGGCCCAAGAGCCTCGGACAGCTTGTGCTATCATGTTGGGCCCTTTTATTCCTTAGGGCAGAGATACTCAACGGACCGAAAGTTGACGATTTTTAAGTCAAACTCCCAGGAAATGTCATGTTCATACTGCGAGGACTTTTTTTTTGATGCTAAATACGGATACATCTAAAAGGTATGAGATGTCAAGGATGCCATAGAGTCAGCCATTGACTGGGAGCACTAGCAGGCATTCGGTCTGTCATCAAGCTCTTTTAAAGATGCTTTTACGATCGATGGTCGCTGTAATAACGCGTTGGGTTTTGCCATACATTAGTTCAGGACGTATTGAAACCAGCCTTTGGGCAATACATCTATCACGTCACAGCCTCCCTCTATATTCAACCCCAGTTCACACTCTCATCTACATCCGGATTTGCATCTAGCCAGGCTCTCACATCTCCTACATCAACCGCCAAACCCGGATGCTCCTTCAGCGCAGTCACCATTACGTCTCTCATCCCCCTATCATCATCCGGTGTAGCTGTGAACGCCTCTTCCAATGCATCGGCCAGCTCTAAGCTCTCATCCTGCCAATAAACATGCAATACATCCTCCACACCCTGCTGCGCGTACGATTTGAGGTCAAACATGTCGAGGTAGTCTGCAACAGTGTAGATGCGTACATGCATGAGGAGATGAGCAGGAGCAAGGCACTTCCCAGCACAAGGACACTTGCGCTTGAAAATCTTCGGACTGCTGACAGGTCCCTCTAGAAGAGCCAAGCTGCTGTGTTTACAGTAGTCGGTTGCAGGTATGGTGATGCCGTATGGGAGCGCATACATGCCCGTGTACATGTAATCCAAGACCTGTTTCATGGACAGCGCGTCAACATCTGGCACGTCTACTTCCTTGTTGCTGGTCTCCTGCACGATTGGTTTAAATATGAAGGACAGCTGGATTCGGGAAAAGGGGCAGGCTTACGCTACCACTGAAGCGGAACATTCGCGCAAAGTAAGGCGACGAGGCTGACAAGATTGCCTTATGGGCTGTGTACCGCGTCCCCTCGCATATGATTGCAAAGTCTGCTGTTTCATCCCCGAGCGCGAGTTTGGTCTGCTTGATTTTGGGTTTGCTGGGTGTGCGTGGAAGACTCTCTATGCGGGAGACAGGAGACCCTCTGCAATGCGGGGTTTTTGGTTCTGCTCTGGATTCCAGAGGCGATTTCTCAACAGAATCCATGATTTGCAGACTCGCCGTCGGTTCCAACACTAATCAGGGGCCCCGGTCGTGCAGCGAGCGTAATACGAGTGGTACGATATCTTTACGGGAAAGAAATGACAAGAGCCGCTTTAATCCATATGTGTCTGAAAGATTTATCACACCGCTACGACAACGCGTGAAATGATAGATGGAGAGCTGGCAGTCTGTGGAAGCCCGACAAGCATCGATGATGTCGACGTCGCGCCCTAGTGTGGGAGGCAACGGGTGCGGTCCGTGCTCGGCACAGGCGAGGTGGAGGTGAATGCAAGGATCCCGCCCGCATTATCTCCGCCCAGCGACTGCCACATGTCAGCCTGTACGCTCACAACATCCAATCAACGTGACTGCTGCCTTGGGATCAGAGACATATCTGGGGAGGTGCGGCAACTAACTTGGGCAAGCCGGTATCCGGTGTCGACCTTGATTGGTCGCCTGACGCTGCTGCCTGTTCTCGTACAGTAAGCCAAACAACCAAGACTTTGTTTTTTTCTTGCTACTTTTTTTGCAACTAAAGCTATGATATCAGGCTTATCGAGTCCAGACGAAGTCACATAGAAAGACATGCAATGAAAAGCTACCTGGGTTTTACAGGGAAAGAAACACTTCTTATTATTAAATATCCTACTGCTTCCATAACACTGTCACACGCCTGCAGAAACAAGTAAGGAGAAGGCAAAGCGTGTGCTAAGGAGCGACGATAAAAGGGCCCATCTTACAAAGTAGGGATTTTGATGTAAGTTCAATCTGATGAAATTGAGAATTAAAGAGGCTCGACTGCCTCAAACTGAGAAGGAAAAACGACATGTAGCACTCATAGCGGTATACCTAGGGGACTGAGGAGACCGCCGGTAGCGGCTGGGCAGAAGCTAACAGTGTTAACGACCGTGCTGCGTACAGTCACAGTGGACGTGGCGATAGCGGTCGCCAGCGTTGGGCTAATCGCAGTAGCAGTAGCGAAGAGGGGTGTAGAGGTACTACGATTAGGTCAGCAAAGCCATCTAGAAGAAGGGGCGGGGAATTCTGACGTCAAAACGGTCGAGCCCACTGTGGAAGTTTGCGTGGCAGTAACATGGGGCTGGGTGAAAGTGAAGTCAGGACCCAAGAATAATACACGCTTATCAAGCTGTTTCTTTGGCGCGGGCTTTACAACACGCTTGCGTCGCAGCTTGAGTCTTGTGCACCCGGAGATCTTGCTGCTACCGTTAACCTCAGGGTTCAGACGGATAGGTCCTGCAGAGTCCTTCGTGTAGCAAGGGCTCTGGACGCCAGGAGGTCGCATGACAAAGGATATAGCAACGCAGCCTGGCGTCTGATCACATTTCTCAAGGCAGCTTTCGTAGCTGTCTACAAAGAAAAGTCCACCGGGGACTGTGATGAATGTTAGCATAACACATCAATATTGCATATCATGTCACTCACTATCGTTGCCGTAGCGGTCCTGAGCACACTCTACAGCGTATTTAGCTCCGCAAGTGGTGGTATATGTGCTGCCGTTATCTGCAGGGCACGTAACGGAGGTGGGCTTGGGGAACGAAGTAGGAGTGCAGGCGCACTGGTAACCGGCATTAGAGATTGTCGTGGTCACAGTCACAGTTGTTCCGGATGGAGCGGACGTGGCAGACGTAGCGGATGTGGAAGTAGGTAAGACTCTGATCAGCTTGGCACCAATGATTGTGCTGTCAATTTTGAAGCCACTGCCAGCGCCAGTCTTCAAGTAGCAAGGACCGCCTTTGACGTAGGCAACTGCAGTACAGCTAGGGGTGGATGAACAATCAGCCAAGCAGCTCTCGTACGACTTGGGGAATGTAGGGGACAATGGAGACGATATGTCGTTGTTGAAATAATCAATGCCGCAGGTGATTAGGTATTGTCGTCCGCCAACAATCACGGTTGATAGATTGGAAGCGGGACAAGATACCGCGCTGGATGTCGGACCGACTCCTGAAGTAGTTGTGGTACGGATGGTGCTTAGAGTCGCCACAGTAGAGCCTGGGGCTGTTGGGTTGGTGCTCAACGTTCCACCAACAGAGCCAGGAGCCGTCGGGTTAGTGTTTGTTGTTCCTCCATCAGAACCTGGGGCCGTTGTAGTACGAACAATGCTTCCGGTAGACTGAGCTGGTGGGACAATTGGGGGTAGCAATGCAGATGGAACTGGCACACTTGCAAGCCTAGCTCCCCAAACAGTCGGGTTAACATAAGGCTGTCCAATTCCGTATTTTAGATAACATGGGCCGTTAGGCAGATAGGAAACCGCCTGGCACAAAGAATTGGCAGCACAAGCTTGGATACATTGCTCGTAGTTTGTAGGGTTGTTGGGTGCCATGCCAAGATCGTAGTCATAATAGTCAATGGAACATTCAAGGACAAAGTTACCTCTGGAAGTGCTGTACGTCGACCCACTGTTGGCGGGACAAGAGAGGATTGAGGGAGGTGCTGAAGGCATGGATGAGGAAAGAGCAACCGAGCTTGGAATTGAAACGCCCGTAGGTAGGGATGACATGGGACCCGATATCGACGGTACACCCGTGGTAAGAGAAGATACTGGCAAAGACATTATCGAGGTTGGAATCGGGATAGGAGACGTGGGAACTGGAAGGGAGCCAATTGAGCTCGGGATGGTTGGAAGAACCGTTGGCAATGAACCGATTGAGCTTGGGATCGATGCAAGCGATGTAGGGACAGGAACAATCGAAGTCGGCAAGGGAACAACGGAGCTTGGGATCGGTACTGGGAGGGAGCCAAGTGATGTCGGAACTGGTAGAGGACCAATTGAGCTCGGGGTTGAGAGGATAGACGTCGGGATTGGCAGGGAACCGATTGAACTTGGAAGTGGGATTATCGAGCTTGGGATTGATACAATGGAGGTTGGCAGCGGTAGAGAGCTGATCGAACCGGGCAGCGAACCGATCGAACCCGGGATCGAGAGAATAGAAGTCGGGATTGGAAGGGGACCAATCGAGCTTGGAATGGATACGATAGAGGTTGGAACTGGTAAGGGCCCAATTGAGCTAGGGACCGATATAATGGATGTAGGTAGTGCACCTGATAGTGATGATAGAGCTGTACCAAGGGGAATGGAAGACAGTGGTAAGGATACACTCAAAGATGGGATGATAGAAGGGTTGATGGAAGGGATGATAGAAGGGCTCAGGACTGGGACCGATGCGATAGTGGATGTAAGAGCTGACGGTACCAGAGAAGAGATTATAGGAGGGCTAAGAGAGGGTATCAAAGAAGTGCCACTTGGGAGAGGAATGGGAAGTATGGAAGAAGTGAGGACCGGGACGGAGACTGGGGGTATAAATGTAGGAAGAGACTGAATGATGGATGTAATACCAGTTGGGACTATAGATGGGATAATGGATGAGATCTCTGGCACAGGGACTGATATAATTGACGAGACCCCTGGTAGAGCAGCGGAGAGGATAGATGAGACTGCTGGCACAGGAGCTGAGAGGATAGATGAGATCTCTGGCACAGGAGCTGAGAGGATAGATGAGACTGCTGGTAGAGGAGCGGAGAGAAGAGACGAGATCTCTGGCAAAGGAACTGGTAGAATTGACGAGACCCCTGGTACGATGGACGAGACCTCCAGGAGAGGTGCTGAGAGGAGAGAAGTAACGCCTGGAAGGGGAGCCGATAGAATGGATGTAATATCTGGCAGAGGTGCTGAGAGTATCGAAGAAACGCCTGGCAGAGGTGCTGGTAGAATGGATGTAACACCTGGCAAAGGCGCCGAGAGAATAGATGAGACCTCTGGTAGAGGAGCTGGCACTATAGAAGAAACCCCCGGAAAAGGTGCCGAGAGGAGAGAAGTAACACCTGGAAGGGGAGCCGATAGAATGGATGTCACGCCTGGAAGCGGGGCTGAGAGAATAGGTGAGACCCCAGGTAGAGAAGCCAGAGGATCTCCAGGGATGATAGAGGAGACTCCGGGAAGTGGAGCTGAGAGAATGGATGTGATACCAGGCAACGGAGCTGATAAAAGAGATGAGACCCCGGGAAGCGGAGCTGGTAGAATCGATGTAACTTCGGGTAGCGGAACTGATAGAATTGAGGAAACCCCTGGCAGTAGAGCTGGTAGAATTGATGTAACTTCGGGTAGCGGAGCTGGCAGAATCGAAGTGACTCCTGGCAGGGGAGCAGACAAAACAGACGTGACTCCAGGTAGGGGTGCTGATAAAAGAGACGAGACCTCGGGCAAAGGAACTGGTAGAATTGAAGTGACTTCTGGCAGTGGTGCAGATAGAATTGATGTAACTCCTGGCAGAGGAGCCGAGACAATGGAAGTGACGGCTGGAAGGGAATCTGAAAGAATACCTGTATTCAATGGCAAAGAGGATACCAGTGGCAAAGAGGATACCAGTGGCAAAGAGGATACCAGTGGCAAGGAGGATACCAGTGGCAAGGAGGATATTAAAGGTAGCGATGATACCAAAGGCAGCGATGATACCAAAGGCAGCGATGATACCAAAGGTAGCGATGATACCAACGGTAGGGGTGATACCAACGGTAGGGATGATACCAACGGGAGAGACGACACGAGCGGTAGAGATGACACTACCGGAAGGGACGATACTAATGGCACGCTCGATACCAAAGGTACAGCCGAGGTTAAAACCCCCAAAATACCTCCTCCTCCACTCGTTGGACAAGCGCTGACGGTACTTGTGGACAGTGCAACACTGCTAACGACCTGTGTCTGTGTAGTTGTTCCGGTAGGAGTAAAGACGGTTGTCGTAGCTATAACTGCACCGCCAGGTGCAAGGACCGTTTGCGTTGTCGTTGTAGTGACAGAAGCCGTTGTGGTGGCGACAGTAGCGGGCGCGGGCGATGTACCGAATGTGGCTGTAAACGCGCGAGGAAGGGGAGGTGGCAGTAAACCGCCAATAACATTGTTGATGGTCAAAGCACCAGTGTTCGGGAAGTTGCTTAGAGCGGCACTACTACAGATGATACTGGTGTAGGTTGCAGGGATGCCGGAGGTAGCGTATGAACAAGTCCGAGTGAATTGTGCTAAGGTGTTCGAGATGACAGGCGTGAAGGTAGGCTTTGTTCCAGCGAAACATGTTGATGCGCCAGACATGTAAGTCATTTGAATGCCGAAATATTCGCCTGCTGTATGTTTTAAATGGTCATAGCTGAAGGTTGGAACTGCCGTCCCTATAAAAGATGGCAATCCAGCGGCCACGAGCGAGCAGCCCGACATGGCTGTGATAGTGCGAGGCTAGCGAGTGTATCAATGGTAAAGAAGGTAAGGGATGAGCGACTGGATAGACTTTGAGGGCGAAGGTGCACCTCCTTATAAGTCTCTTGAGCTGATAAAAAGAAGGCAAAATCACCTTCCCGCCAGCGCTCGGCAGTATGAAACGATGACGGGTACATAATCCGGAGTTGGGCAGTGTCGGGACCCCTACATGATGTTAGGGGTAATTTTGTCTTGTATGGATCGAAAACCTGTCCTCATTGATTATCCAGCAACTATTTAGCGAAGGGCCGCATATCGTTGACGTGTTTTCGATCAATGAATCGATTTCAAAGAGTGTCCGATGAGATGCTGTTAGATAATACTAGATGCAGGGCCCAGGATACCATACTGATTCCAAGCATGCATACATCAATTCCGAGGCTTCCTATATGGCACTATCAGGATGCTATGCAGAATTGAAGGGCAAAGTCGAGTTGAATGGGGACATCAGCTCACGCCTTCAATATTTCGCGAGTACGGAGATGACATGCTTCAAAAGTTCACCCACGTTGCATGTCCTGTGATCTCCCATTCACGAGATTGCAAACGTGCTAGACCAAACCGAGATCGATAGCGTTACTACTAAGGAACACATTAGTAATGGTACCTTTGTATTTGCATGCTTTCACATGCATGGGTGTCTGAGTGAGAGCCACTGACCTACCCAAGGAAAGCCTGCGCATATCGCCATATTAAAATGAGTTGGTAGTACTGAGTCTTAGATCTGCAATCGCCCAAGTACCCACTGAACCAGGTCTTTAATCACGGTCACAGCGGGTAGGTACCTATGAACGAACTCGTCCACATCTTTACATATTATCATGAATGCATCAGTTTCATGCATGAGACAACTGGTGGCGAACGGTATGTAGCGCTCGAAATATCATGAAGCAAGAGTGCTGGGAAGATTGAAAGGATCCGTGTTGCGCATTGGAAGATGATCTGCAGACTATCCTAGTGTCAGTAGAAACTTTTCGTTCATTGTCAGAGCCAGCAATCGGAATGCAACGTTTCTGTTGAAACCGTAAAGGTCTCTACTTTACTTTTTGCATACTATGATGACATAAGACATCCGAAATATTTCTTCACATTCCCTTGTATCCCTTACTCTTTTCGCTATTAAGCGCCAATGTCACGCCCTTGGGCAATAGGCACTTTCACAAGATTTGTCAGCTCACATCGGGTGACATCCCTTGCTCTGCGGTTATGAGCCAATTCAAAGGCGCGCATTACAAAGACATTTTGCATAGATTTTCAGGAGCACAACTGCCCTGACTATCTTGGCCAATACCTTGATGTGACGGCGCCGTGAGCTGTAATACTCAGCACAGCTTGTGTAACTTCGACTCCAGATAAGGAAATCGAGTCCTGATGGATTTCGAGGGTCTCCAGTATATGCAGGGACTTTGAGCCCCGCTGAAGACAATGAAAAGCTGGATTCAATATACCATCGAAACAGCGCGTTGAAAGAAGTTTTGTGGTCCTAATCTGCAGAGGACCAGTGGAGTGAATATTGCAGCCGATTGAAACAACGGTAGGAGGGATTCGGTATGGTGCACATGGCCACTTGTGGCAAAAGAAGAATGGGATGACTAAAAAAAAGGTGAGTGGAAGGTGCGTGCAGGAGCGAGGACGAAAAGAGTGCCCGTTCTGAAAGCGGTCAATACGTATCCGTGATGTCATAGTATAGTATCGCGCGACATGTACTGCGCATCGAAGTACTTCATTCTATTCACATCATGTCTTCCAGCACATATACAATCAACATATAATCAATTTCATGAGCTACGAATAACCAAACATAGAGCAACGAGGTAACGTAAGGTATCTATAACGCAGCTAGCATATACTACTCGACACGCCTTTGCTCAGTCTCTTACCTCACATGTCTAACGGCGCTATTCTCAAAAGCATTCCTTCTCAAATTAGCTTGCGCTTTGTGATGCATCGTTACCCCCGCCCTCCTCCAGGTCGATAGCCTGATACCCATTACTCTCCCAAAATGGTTTCTCCTTTCTCTTACTGCCAGCCAATGAAGCTGTCAGCCCGCAAGGGTCGATAAAAGTCATCCACCAAGGCATATCATCCTTCCAACCCGGGCCTTGTAGCTCATTCCGACCATTCTGTGCCACGTATACATGGTAGTCTTCCGGTAGATAGTGGCGTGGATGCCGGTAGTTCCATAATATGGAGTTTACCAGCATGGGACTTGCTTCGAAAACCCAGAAAAACCATTCATACCTCAAGACGGGAGAGAGTGTCTGAGGATCCCAGTCTGGTGATGAATGTTCATGAATGGCGGTGGTTCCAAAATGTTCGATTATGCGGTAGACGGTGCGAAGGAGGATGAGCATCATGCTTAAGTACAGCGTTACGAGCGGGCCTCGTACCTTGCGGGTGGTAATTCCTCCTCTTATGCATCGTGCATGGAAGATGCCAGCGATGATGCAGAATACGGTGATTACACCGACCTGCAAGACCAGTGATGCTTTCAAAAGCACATCTCCTCTCTTGATGTATGACCTGGGGACGTTTGGGTTGGCAAGCCAGGCAACACCGATAGCATTAAGAACTTCGACAATGCTCGACACGAAGCCAAAGGTGGTCAGAGTGCGGCCTGGATGGAGGGGCGAGTAGTAAGGGACGTAGTAAAGGATGCGACCAAGTACGTGGTAGTTGGCTAGCTCGAGGATGGGGCTGTCTCACAGTGTCAGTCTTGGAGGATCCAGGTTGAATATCCAGTTCTCACTTACGGAGCGCAGTATATGAGTATGGTGCTCGCAATATACACATTGACGTCTTTGTAATGAATTGCGCCATAGGATCGAAGGGCGAATCCTGCTGTAAAAAGAAGGCCACAGACGGGATGAAGGCCTGTGACCTTCCATGCTTTGTATTTGATACATTGACATATGTGCGCGATTGTTGCGACCGCGAACCATGCTGTGAACATTGGCGGAGCCCAATTCACTGGATCGTAGAGGTAAACGCTACCCGGGACTATCTCGCCGTTGCTCATTGTAAGAATGGATGAAAAACTCGAATGCTGATGGGGGGAAAGGCTGGCGATTAAGCAAAACTAATAGCTCTTATGTCCTGAGTAACATGTTCAAAATGTGGACAGCCGCCATGAGATAATCCTTCTGTTATGAATTTTCTCAAACAGGCTTATTGCCAGGCCAAGATTGACGGAAAAGGTGCTAAGTATTCTATGTGTACAACGCTCAGGCAGTTCCGACCAACCAGTTTGCAGCCTTATGGTAATTGCAGAGTTGTTCCTTGAACAGGCTAGGATGGTCATGCGTGGCTGTGTGGTAACTTCGACATGATTATAATCGCGGGTAACCAGGCATGACGTCCTTTCAGTAGACTAAAGACTACGAAGCGAGCTGTATGCGAGTCGCTTATTATTTCTCGACTTGGAGGTCCGTAGTGGCGTCTCCCGCCAGTGCTTAGAGAGGGCGCTTGAGATTACTCCACATTTGTTCCTATTGATGGAGATTGACAAGAGACACGAGCGTTGAGTGGCTACATAGACATCAGCAACTGCACCATGGACTTGGCGATCCACAGATTCACAGCCTCTTACCTATGATTTCCGTTGTAGAACGCAAGCAGCAAGTGTTTAGGGTTCCAATAGCCTCACAGCGAGTGAGTAGAGCCGCCCCCACCGGCATTACCGATGGAAGCAAAGCTGAAGGCCCCTTGTCACGTAAGCAGGCAGATTGCGGCTAGTCCCAATACGGCAGTAACGATGGCCAAGTATTGGGGGCCAGTTATCAGGGCTCATCCTCGGCGGGGCATTGCATCTCTCAGCCACAACAACGAGATCCAACTCTCTGTGGTAATAAGAGAGCAAACATGCTCGCTGCTGCGTGTAGTTTAACCCTGTCACAACGGCCGCAACTGCACATGCGGGTACCTCGAGGTCCAGACTAAGCCGGACACGTACTTGGAGACACCAGGGTTCCGCCTGCATCAGTAGCAAACAAAACACTTCTTCGAGTCGATATGGCCTTGCCCGAAAAGGGAGAACCGAAAGCAACCCGACAATGCTGGGAATGCTCGAAACGCCGCCTTGTATGTGACTGCACACTACCCCACTGTAGAAAGTGCCAAAAAGCCGGACGGCAATGCTCTGGCTACGACGATACAAAACCACTCCAATGGGTCCAGACGGGCATGGTGACTTCAAGACGGAGAAAGAAGAAAGATAACAGCCCGCCAAAAGTATACGTTGCGACTCCAACGTCGAGCCAGGACCGGCAGATCTCGTGTCAGGATGGTGGAATATTTGAGCACGAGTTCTACGGACGCATGTACGAGAACGACTACATTTGTGAGCCGGTTGATTACGAGGACGCTTTGGCTTCGTTCTATGAGAAGCAGGAGGGTGTACCCAAAGTTAGCGCGCCGGAACTGCACGTTTCCGCAATCAAAATGACGGCTTGCGCTAATGAGGCTGCTCGGATATTCAAGACTTGGGGAAGGGCCAAGATTGAAGATGTGGTCGAAAAGGGATTGCATGACGAAGCCGCAAAGATACTACGATCGAAGCGAGACCCTCTTCGACGCTTGAAACGCTTAGTGGTCGTTCTGCATAAGTACGAGGTGCCAAACTACGCATATCTGACCAACGAGACGTCGGATGTTATTCAGGCTGTTCAGTATTGTAAGCGTATATCCAAAAGCCAATTGCCATTGTACACGGCTCACACCTCCAGACAATGCCAGAATTCGAGCGCAGTACAAGGCCTACGGGGAGCTGGTACCAAATCCCGCCATCGTTGTCTTCCCCCCTCAGGTGCTGCATCTCCTCACGCCAGCGATTCATCACACGCTAGTATGCATATCCCTCAATCACTTTGTCCATACGCAGCCATCTGGCGCCGATCGCGCAATCACAAGCATGAACCGATCAAAGATATATCATCACCGAGGCGCTGCCTTGCGATCACTGA